CCCGTGGTGCTCACCACCCACTCATGCATTCTTGTTTCCGAGGCTTTGGGAAACGAATCTTTGGCCAGACAAGTTCCAGAAACTGCCTGCTTTGAAACGTGAATCTGTTTAAAGACTCTTAGCAAGATCGAGGCGTTTGCCATTGCGAAGATATGCAAAGATTCAGTTAGAATTACAGTATGAATTAAGGAAGTCTTTTGCATACGTTTTACTCATTGCTGTTTCTTTTTCATTTTTGTTGTTTGCTGAAGGTTTAACAAGTTAGTTTCATCATTTAGCTATTTAGCCCTGCAGCCACCTATTTGGGAACTATAGGGGCTCTGGTAGCATAGTGGCTAAGGCATTTGACTGCTAACCAGAAGGCTGGCAGTTCAAACCCACCAGCCACTCCTGGGAAGGAAGATGGGGCAATCTACTTCCGTAGTGATACTGCCTTGGAAACCCAAGGAGGGGTCGCTATGAGTGAGGGGTCGCTATGAGTGAGGGGTCGCTATGAGTGAGGGGTCGCTATGAGTCGGGACCAACTCCACAGCACGTAACAACAACAGTCTAAACAGGACTTTGGGAGAACAGATCATTTAAAGAGTAAAACTCTGAGGAGCTAAGGGGAAAGGTAATTTCTTTTGATTTAGTCCAAATTAACCTGAAAGTTCACCAATCTAACCTTCCTCCTAATCTAATGTTTACCAGTCTAATCTTCCTCGTTAGACCATTCTCTATGTAAGGACAGTTTAGGGTAAGCCGCTTGAATACATTGTAGTGATTAAAGTAAGCTGAAACCTATAAGATCCAACCCCTACTTACTGACAGGAGGCAACTGACATTTCACAGTGGCCAGTTATTACACATGTATATTTGATAAAGTGTAGTGCATCTTAAAATATGTTTTAGAATGACCACACTGTTTTAAAATTCATATTCCTATATCTCTGGTCAGTTAGGAGCTCTGGTGGCATAGTGCCTAAGGCATTTGACTGCTAACCAGAAGGTTGGTGGTTCAGACCCACCAGCCACTCATCAGAAGGTAGAGATACTGCTCTCTACTTCGGTAGAGATACTGCTTCAGAAACCCAAGGAGGGGTCGCTATAAGTCAGAATTGACTCGATGGCAGTGAGGTTTTTTTTTTGTTTTTTGTTTGGTCAGTAGGTCATAGTTTTCCTATTATTTTTCTTGGACAGGATTTGGTACTTTCAGTGCCAGTTTTGTTGTTGTTGTTATGCGCCATCGAGTCATAGCGACCCCTCCTTGGGTTTCCGAGGCAGTATCACTATAGAAGTAGATTGCCCCATCGTCCTTCCAAGGAGTGGCTGGTGGGTTTGAACCGCCAGCCTTCTGGTTAGCAGTCAAGTGCCTTAGGCACTATGTCACCAAAGCTCCCAGTGCCAGTTTAAGAACTTTCAAAAGCCTAAAATTAAGTTACAGTGCATTAATTGGCAATACAGGAGTGACAGGGTGGATGTAAGAGGGGATATGTATTGATTAAGTTTATTATGTAAAGGTGTGTTACAGTCATAGGCTGTTAAAACTTGAAGGGATTTCAAAGACCAGCTAGTCCAGCCTCCACTATTCTAAGGAAAATGCACACTGATGGAGCAGAAGTGACTTTTCCTGGCTTGCATGGTAAAGAAACTGAGCCTCTCAGCTAGGCTGGACGCTTCTACTCTTTAACCCTGAGGTTTGGAGAGAGTGAACAAAGTGTACTGAACATGCCTGTCATGTTTGTGTCTTTTGGTGTGGCTTTCACCTCCGTCTCAGTGGGCTTTTCTACAGAGGATTCTCTGGCACACGGTGGGACCTTGTTTAATAGTTAGCACTGCAGTTATGCAATACAGCTGATTTACCCAAAATAGCTGAGCTCTTGTTAAGTAAACTACAAAATGATATATAATATTTTACATTGTACGGTAGCAGACTGCTTCTGATTAACTTGAAAGAGAAAGCTGTTTTTGATACATAAGATTTGGATTCTAAAGATGTGAGTAAAGTATGTAAGTTTTTTGATCCTTACTTTTTTGTAGCATGGAGGTAATACTTATTTTTTATTCCCTCATTGCAGTATAAGACATTGACTGACTCATGGGAGACATAGGATAGTTAGAGAAGCAAATGGGACAATGGGAGTGAAAGCACATTTTAAAGTGTTGTAAAAGTGGTAGTTATTGTTAATTTTATTATGTAAGCCTAGGGGAGTTGATGTTAGCTTATGAGTAATTGTTGTCGTGCACCTTCAAATGGAATCTGACTTGTAGTGACCCCTGTAGGGCAGAATAGGGTTACTCTCACAGGTTTCCGAGGCTATAATCTTCATGGGAGCAGGTTGCCTGGTCTTTTCCTCTATGGAGTGGCTAGTGGTATAAACCACTGACCTTTCAGTTAGCAGCTGAGTGCTTAACCATTATATGAGTGATAGAGGACAATTGATGCCATTCTCCTTCTTGCAGAAATTATGAGATTAATTCTGATTTGGCCCTCAAAAACAAGCTTAGTATAAATGGAGTCATTAAAATAATAATATCTCCCATCCCCGTAGGGTTATTTTTTTTTTATTGGTTCAGACGTTTATAATATAAAACTGACTGCCATCGAGTCAATTTGACTCATAGTGACCCCTCCTTGGGTTTCCGAGGCAGTATCACTATGGAAGTAGATTGTCCAGTCTTCCTTCTGAGGAGTGGCTGGTGGGTTTGAACCCCAGCCTTCTGGTTAGCAGTCAGATGCCTAAGGCACTATGCCACCAGAGCTTCTATTTGTAATATAGTTGAACTTTTATTATTTCTTTTCATTTTGAACCATATCAATAACTGTTGCTATTATACTTATGAAGGAGCTCCGGTGGTGTAGTGGATAAAGCATTTGACTGCTAACCAGAAGGTCAGCAGTTCAAACCATTTCAGAATGACAGAAAGAAATTTTTTAATGTTTTTGATCATTTCATTCACAATTTGTAAATTTATGTGTGATTTTATCATTTTTAGAGAGGTGAGATTCATTCTCAGCCTTTCAGAATTCCTATCCTATATCAGTTATGCTACTATCTAAGACATTTACCTTGGAGTATTGTAAACCAGAAATAGGCTTTCTTGGTGGTACAAACAGTTAAAGTACTCAGTGGCTGAACAAAAGGTTGGAGAGTCTAGTCTACCCAGAGGCAACTCAGAAGAAGGGCCTGGCAATGTACTTCCAAAAAAATCAGCCGTTGAAAACTCCATAGCACAAGGAGATCGCTCAGGGGGAGGGGAGTGCATGGGAAGGAAGGACACAGGGAAGAGGTAACAACAGGGAGGAAGTGGGAAGAGAGCTATTACATGGTGGGGAATCGCAGTCAATGTCATAAAACAAAATGTGTATGAATTGCTGTTTGGAAAATGAATTTGCTCTGTAAACTTTCACCCAAATCACAATAAAAATTAAAAAAATAAACTCTATGGAGAACAGTTCTACTCTGACACACATGGGGTTGCCATGAGTCAGAAGTGATTCTACAGCAACGGATTTTAAATAATGAATAAAAAAGTAAGGTTAATTGTGTAACCTATTTGGAATTAAAGGTATTTCAGATCCATACTTGGATTTTATTTTCTGAAACAGAGTAATTAGGTTTTGTCAAGGACCAGATTTATGTAATTAGTGGTAGAAGCATTGTGTCTGGGTGGTATCGGCTGTTAAGTGCAGGACTACTAGTGGAAAGGTTGGCATTTAGACCTACACAGAGGCACCTCAGCAAACAGGCCTGGTGATCTGCTTCTGAAAGGACATGGAATTGAAAACCCTGTGAAGCAGTCTACTCTGCACACCTGGGGTCACACTGATACAGAATGGATTCAGTGGCAGCTAACAGCAACAGCAATGATAGTAGTAGTTATTTTGAGGACCAGAGACTAAGGATAGGCAATATATTCAGGAAGTAATGCTACTTTGTATTAAGTTTTATGTAAGCACACTTAAAATGTAAAATCTTTTAAATGTATTTGCCACTGATTTTAATATTGAATAGTTGAACATATATTCATGAACCCTCCTGCTTCTTTTTAATTTGTGACATAGTACAACTAGAATTAGTTTGAGAACAAAAGTAGAGATTAAAATTAGACAATAAAAGAAAGCTTAAATTTTATATTTCTTTCTGTATATATAAAGATTATAGTATATGTATGATTGGGAGCTCTGGTGGTGTAGTGCCTAAGGCATTTGACTTCTAACCAGAAGGCTGGTGGTTCAAACCCACCGGCCACTCCTCAGAAGGAAGGTTGGGCAATCTACTTCTGTAGAGATACCACTTCAGTAACCCAAGGAGGAGTCACTATGAATCCGGTCCAACTTGATGGCAGTGAGTTTGGTTTATGTGATTATATAATATGTATGTATGATAATAGTGATTTAACAGTAGTATCTAAAATAGAGCCTTCCAAGTACCCTAAGCTTTCAAATAGTAAATTTGAGAGTTTTAGTATTTTTGAAAGTGTTTTAAAAAAAAATCAGATCTACTTATTTTTCCTATGTTTGGTTCAGTGTCATCACAGTGGGAATAGGATGAAATACTATAGTAGATAACACTGTAATTGCTGATGTTTATAAATACTGGTAATTGTTTTAAACTAATTTCATTACTCTCTGTCTCTCTCACACACGCACACACATATATTTATATAAGGTATATATATTTTATATATATGTTAGAATATATTTAATATATATGAGAGAATAATAATATGTATATGTCAGCAAATGTCATAGTTGTATACGATGCTAAATGTTTTATATATTTCATCTTATTTTTATCATGAGACAAATGAGGTGTTAATATCATTTTCAAAATGAGGAAATGACACATTTAGTATATGATAGAGCTGAGATTTGAATCCATAAACATCAGAGGAATCTATTTACCCACAGTAGCTCACAGAAATCATTTTGGTATGACACCTATACTGATGATAAGGTACAGCTGCCATTTTTATGATTGTTCTTTTGTTTACTCATTTTTACAGGAATTTTCAAGATGAATTACACTGAGTCCAGCCCATTGGCTGAATCAACTACGATAGGTTTTACACCTGAGTTACAAAGTATCATACCTGTGCCTTCCAATGAAACCACTTGTGAAAACTGGAGAGAGATACATCATCTAGTTTTTCATGTGGCAAATATTTGTTTTGCAATTGGGTTGGTTATTCCAACTACTCTTCACCTTCATATGATACTTCTTAGGGGGATGTTTACTCTAGGTAAGTTACTTAAGTCAGATTTTACATAACTTGTTTACCAGATGAGCTTTGTATTCAGGCTTCAGAGTATTCTTTGTTAGGTCTCCAACATACAAAAAGCATTAAGTCTTCATTAATGATCAGCTGTATATCAAGTAACTTAGAATATATGTCTTTATATATAAATATATATGCTTCTCCTTTACTTACTTAGAATAAAAATACATGTATGTTTTCATCTTTTGCTTAGATTTTCCAAATATCAGAAAATCTATTCATTTGTAATAGAACTTTTGAGCTAGAATTTGTGCTTTGAATCCTGGTTCCACCATTTGCTAACTATACATCTTGGCAAGTGAATTAACCTTTTACACCTCAGATTCCACATGTGTTAAATAAGAGTAGAAATAATACTACCTCCTAGGATTGTTGTAAGAATTAAACAAAAGTGTGAGATATAGATATAAAATATATATATGTATATATATACACATACACACTGTTGTAAGTCATGTATATGTACATATACAGATGTGCTTATATATGACTTAAAATATTCCTGACACTTACTATTTATAGTATAGTTATTATTTGAAAAGGCATTTGCTTTCTGTGATCAATAAAACAAAATTGGGAACAAAAGCTATTACCTAGACACAATAGTTCAAGTCAAACTTTTTTTGGGGGGTGGGGGTTGGGCAGTAACTCTATTAAAAATATTAAATCTATTATTTTAGTCAGTGATTCTTGACAAATTACTCTCTGTGTGATTATTTCCCTGATGACCTATTTATTCAGGTGTGTTTTTGAGCACTTGTAATGTGTCAGACAGATATTGAAGAAGGTGATATCTGTCCTTGAGAAAGACACTTTTATGGTGGCCAGAAGAGAAACGGGTAGGCAGTAACAACAGTATGACATGTTAGGTGCTGTGATGCAGGTGTGGCACATAGTGTTAGGGAAAACAGATAGGGTGAGAGGTTTAGTAGGAAGGTGGAACAAGGTCCCGCTGAGGAGAGGACATTGGGACTAGGTTTTTGAAGATGAGCGGGATTTTTCCAAATGTGAGTGTGTGCAGCACTCCAGGCACAGGGCACAGAGGAGGAGGAAAATTTAGCATATTGGAGGGAATGAAGAACAGGTCATTATGCCTCAAATATATGAGAAGTAGGAAGGAATAGTGGTAGAGAAATTGCTGGAAGATAGCTAGAAGGCAGCTTGTGGGACTTCTGTGGCATGCTAAGGAATGTAGACTTTTCCTCTTGTTTTTTTAAGAAAATAAATGGTATGCATTCATTAATACTCTAGGCAGGTAACTGGCTGGAGTGTCAAGGAAAGTTTGGAGAAGTACCAGGTTGGAGGGTGAGAGCTGCAGTGGATGGAATGTGAAGTTAGAGGCAGGGCATCCAGTTAAGAGACTTCTTCATTTGTCCAAGCCAAAGATGATAAGGTAGAGAACTTTTGCAGTGAGAGGATGAGGGATGGATTGGAGAATTGTTCCGGATTAGAATAGTAGGACTCAAAGACTGGCTGGCTGTAGGATGTTGGCTTGGGGTGTAGGAACTGATGTTGACTGGATTTCAACTTGGATATAACTATGCTACCTCTGAGCTCTGGTAGCGTAGTGCCTAAGGCACCTGACTGCTAACCAGAAGTCTGGCAGTTCAAACCCACCAGCCACTCCTCGGAAGGAAGGTTGGGCAATCTACTTCCATAGTGATACTGCCTCGGAAACCCAAGGAGGGGTCACTAAGAGTTGGGTCCGACTCGATGGCACATAACAACAACAACAACAACCTCTGAGTAAAGTAGAGATTGCCCTAGGAGGAGCAAGGTATTGAATGAGACAGAAAAGAGCACTATATCAAAATGCAAAATCAAATGACACATTTTAAAACAGGATTTTAAAGATTGAATGAACCAGGGAGATCATCTATTCCATTCTACAAATGGGGAAACTGAGGCACAGACAAGTTAAGACTGAGGGAAATGACGGAAGTAGGACTATAATTCAGGTCCTCTACCTGCCCACTCAGTCCTTAACTTTTACTACCCTGTCTTCTTTAGGTAATAGTATTTAAATTTCCTTAAATATTTGCTATAAAGTATTATTTAAAGAACATTGCAATTTTTACATTTTGAGCCATTCTTCAGGTGTCTCAAATCATTCAGATATCCCAAATCATTCTGATGAAATAAAAAATTACACATGAATAGTTAGCATTTATACATTTGTGTGTGTCATTGATGTATTTGTATCATGTTGACAGTTTATTTTAAATTAAAAATACATATTAACTCTCTCCATAAACTTGATCAAAAGAAACTGAGATATTTTGTCTAAAGTAAGAGAATCAATAAGGAAAAGGAGAAAGATTCCCACAGATAAATGAATAATCACCAAGTGAAAAATTCAGATGGCTAATACATTTTTGTAAAATATTCCACTTTACCAATAATTATGGAAATGCAAAATACATAACTTCTCACTATCAAATAAAAGCTTTCAAATTTTGTAATATTGACAACTTGATGCTAGCATTCCCTACAAGTAGGATTGCAAATATGTATAAACTTTTGAGGAAAAAAAAAACTTCAATGTCATTAAAAACTATGAAGTTTATTAACCTTGATTTTAGGGAATCCACACTAAGTAAGCAATCAGAAATACAGATCAATTTTTAGGGACAAAATGTCATTGCTACTTATATTACCAAAACTTACACCCCAAAACTCTCATCTACTCAACAGTAGGAGGAAGTTTAAATAAATTTTGGTTTAATAAATTGCAGTCATTAAAAACTATGCTTACAAAGAAGAATGAAGTAAACCAGAGATTCATGGAAACAATTAGTTCTAGTGACTGGTACACCATGTGATCCGCAGCCTATATGACTATGAGACCAGAAGAACTAGATGGTGCCTGGCTACCACTGTCAACCACTTGGAGGGGGATCTATGTAGGAGATCCTGGATAGACAGGGAGAACGATGTGGAACAAAACTCAAAATCATTGGAAAAAAAAAGGGGGGACCAGTTTTGCTGGTCTGATTGAGCCTGGTACAACCACTGAGACTAGGCCCCTAGCTGCCCTTCAGGTCTGGAATTGAACCCACACCTGTGGCTTCCAGCCAAACAAAAGAGGCATATGAGTTGAACATTTACCTCAGGTAGATACACTCCTTGGAGAGAACAATCATGGGAGAAAGAAAGACTTTTTATGCACAGGGATACAGCTCAGGAGGCAGGAATGCATGGAGGGATACACACAGGGAAGAGGTAACTGTGGGAGGAAGTGGGAGGTGAGCTGTTGCATTGGGGTAAACTGTGGTCAATGTCATGAGACAATGTGTGTGTGAACTGCTGTATGGAAAGTGAATTTGCTCTGTAAACTTTCACCCAAATCACAATTAATAAAAAAACTATGCTTACAAAGAGTTTTAATGAAATGGGAAAATAACTGCAATAAGTAAAAAATTAGGTTTTAAAATTATATACACAAGAGAAGATCCAAGATGGTGGCCTAGACAGATATACTACCAGACCCACTACAGAAAAAAGACTCAGGAAACCAGGTGAAATGGATATGGATGACAATCTTGGCACCCAGAGCTTCAGATAAACGGATTAAGAAGTACATCAAATACTGTTGAGAGAAAGTGACTGAATGAAGACAGAGAACAAGGAGGCATATGGAGTGGTAAACTGCCAACAGCATGTAGCCATTTTTGGTTATTGCAAGCAGTGTTTCCACTGGAGCAGGAACCAGATAACCAGCTCCACTCACCCAGGAATACACCAGCACCTACATCAGTGATTAGTGATCAGAGAGATGTGATCTTCTTCCTTATCTTGTACAACCACCTGGTAACCAGAGACATGCTCCTCCCATCCCCACCCACCGGGTGGCTGGTACATGCGCCTGCCACTGCCAGGGCTGCTTTCTTCTCCGTTTTATCTTTCTTCTTAGCTCTTCCCTTTTCTTTCCCTTTGTTTCTTTTTACTTCCTTTTCCTTTACCTTTTATGAATGGATGCCTCACCAAAGAAGACATTCAGGAGGCCAACAAACACATGAAGAAATGCTAGCCATTAGAGAGATGCAAATCAAAACAGCACCCCAACATTAATAGCAAAGTTAATAAAAATGTTGGCAGGAGTGTGGAGAGACTGGAAACTGTATACACTGTTAGTGGGACTGTGCTGCAACCACTGTGGAAATTGGTATTAGCTGCCTAGACTTGGTTTTGACTCAGTGAATCAGAGCAACGACCTGTGTATAAATTTAACACTTCCTCATCCTGTGCCATCCTCACAATCATTGCTGTGTTTGAGCCCATTGTTGCAGCCGCTGTGTCAGCCCATCTTGTTGAGGATCTTCCTCTTTTTCACTGATCCTTTACTTTACCAAGCATGTCCTTCTCCAGGGATGGGCCCCTCTTGATTACATGACCAAAGGACAAGAGACAGAGTCTTGCCATCCTTGCTTCTATGGAGTATTCCAGTGGTACTTTTTCCAAGAGAGATTTGTTTGTTCTTCTGGCAGTCCATGATATATTCTATATTTTTTGCCAACACCATAATTCAAGGATGTCAATTCTTCTTTGGTCTTCCTAATTCATTGTCCAACTTTCGTATGCATATGAGGAGATTGAAAATACCATTTCTTGGGTCAGGTACACCTTAGTCTTCAAAGTGACATCTTTGCTCTTTAACTTTAAAGAGATCTTTTGCAGCACATCTGCCCAGTACAGTATGTTATTTGATTTTTTGACTGCCGCTTTTGTGGGTATTCATTGTGGGTCTAAGTAGAAGGAAATCTTTGACAACTTCAATATTTTCTCCATTTATAATGATGTTGCTTATTGGTCCAGTTGTGAAGGGTTTTTTTTTTTTTTTTTTCTTTTTTTTTAAAGTTGAGATGTAATCCATACTGAAAGATATATAGTCTTTAATTTTCATCAGTAAGTGTTTTCTAGTCCTCTTTGTTTTCAACATGTGAAGTTCTGTCATGTGTCACAGGGTGTTAATGAGTATTCTTTCAGTCCTAATGCCACTTTCTTCTCCATAGTCCAGCTTCTTAGATTATTAGTTCGCTATACAAATTGAAGGGAGCTCTCATGGCATAGTGCCTAAGGTGTTTGACTGCTAACTGGAAGGCTGGTGTTTCAAACCCACCAGCCACTCCTTGGAAGGAAGAGTGGGCAGTCTACTTCCGTAGAGATATTGCCTCAGAAACCCAACAAGGGGTCGCTATGAGTTGAATCAACTCAACAGCATTGATTTTGTTCTTTTGGTTTTATATAAATTGAAAAGTGTGATGAAAAGATGCAACTGTGTGCACCTTTCCTGATTTTAATCCATGCAGTATCCCCTTGTTCTGTTCAAGCAACTGCCTCTTTTTGTATGTATGGGTCCTCATGAGCTCAATTAAGTGTTCTGCAATTCACATTCTTTGCAGTGTTATCCATAATTTATTATGATCTGCACAGTTGAATGCCTTTGCATAGTCAATAAAACACAGGTAAACATCTTTCTGGTATTCTTTGCTTTTAGACAAGCCCCATCTGACATCAGCAATGGTATACTGCATTCTGCATCCTTAAAAAATTGGAAGTAGAAATACCATATGATCCAGCAATCTCACTACTAGTTATATATCCCAGAGAAATAAGAGCTGTGACATGAATAGATACATGCACATCCAGGCTTATTGCAACACTATTCACAGTAGCCAATAAATGGAAACAACCTAAGTGTCCACCCACAGGTAAATCGATAAACAAGCCATGGTACATAAATACAATGGAATACTATACAATGAATGAATAATGAATCTGTGAAACACCTCATAACATGGATGAACCTAGAGGACATTATGCTGAATGAAATTAGTTAATCACAAAAGGACAAATATTGTATGAGATGACTACTGTAAAAAGGCAAGAAAGGATTTACACACATACAAAGGAACATTCTTTGACAGCTACCAGGGTGGAAGTAGAATAGCAGGTAAATCGCTTAACTAGAAAACCAAATGAAACCCATTGCCATTGAGTTGATACCAACTGATAGTGACCCTATAGGACAGAGTAGAACTGCCCCCATAGGGTTTCCAAGGCTGAAAATCTTTACAGAAGCAGAGTGCCTCATATTTCTCTTGCAGAGTGGCTGGTAGGTTTGAACTGCCAATCTTTGGTTAGCAACCCAGTGCTTTAACCACAGCACCACCAGAGTTCCCTCACTTACTGGAAGGTAGATACGTATTAACTTGGGTAAAGTGAAGGACAATATCTAATAAGGGGGAATTCAGCACAAAATGATCAAGGCAATAGAAGACACTGGGAGGAGCATAAGAGTTAAAGGCAGCAAAGGTAAATAGTATTACATACACAGTCCTGTAATAACAGTAATCTACGAGTAGATACATAGATAGGCATTCAAACTGAAAGGAGGGGAAAGACAAATGGAATACAACCACAATATATACATAGGTTTGACAGAGATATTTCTAAGTATATATTTGCATGTGCTGCAAAAATACCCATGAATATAGTAGAGCATACAGGGGGCAAAGTTATGAAAACTTAGCCATAACCATACACCTTGAAGGAGTGAGTTGCTGGACCTGGGGCTTAGTACCATAGTCTCAGGAGACACCAATCAATTGTGTCCACAAAGACAGTGTTCTCCATCCTATTTTGGTGAGTAGTGACTGGGGTCTTAAAAGCTTGTGAGTAGCTGTCTAATGTGCAACTCTCTGTCTTTCCCCATGAGGAGGAAAGAAGAGTGAAGAAAATCAAAGACACAATAAAACATTTAGTCCAGAGGACTCAGAGACCACGTGAACCCTAGCCTCCATGATCCTGATAGCAGAAGAACTAGATGGTGCCCTGCTACCACTGCTGACCACTCTGAAAGGGATCACAGTAGGAAGTCCTGGATAGAGAGGGTGAAAATTGTGGAACAAAACTCAAAATAATAAAAAAGACTGGGCTTACTGGTCTGATGGAGACTGGTGGAACCCCCTTGAAGCAGGAGAAGGAAATGAAGGAATTATAACCTTTGCCCAACCTAAATAGGGAAATCTCTTGAGCAGTGAAACAACTTGTGAGGCCAAAGACATCCGGCTCGGGCCGGCTTAAACAACCATGTATAGAGAGTGGAAAATTCCTCTGCCCTGTTCCCCCTCCCTTCTTCCTCTGCCCATACTCCTCCTCCTCACTTCTGCTCAGGCACGTTTAACTTCTGTAAAAACTGCTAGCTGCAGGTGCTCTTTTTTCAGGTGACCAATCACCCTTTTACCCCAAATACCCCAGGAGAAGAGCTCCATAAAAGCCCCATGTGGCCTTCGGGGCTCAGTCTCTGGATGTGAACCCACTGAGTCTGTGCTAGCACACAGAAATAAAGTCCTTCCTTTTTTCACCATCCTGCTTGGTGTTAGCGTTTCCCTTGACTGCTCCTGTAACACCCTGAGACTATGGCCCTTAGCCACCTTTCAGGCCCGAAACTGAACTCACCCCTGGAGCTGAACTTTCAGCCAAATGATAGATCTATAAGGTTAACAGTAACACAGGGAGGTTCACTCCCCTTAGACTGACCAGCCATATGAACCAAAAGGACTGCCTTTGCCCAGAGGTAAAGCTCAGAAGGCAGGAAGCAATAGGAGAGAAGGACAAATGGAAACAGGAAACACAGGGAGGCAGTGGCAAGAGTGCTTTTACATTTTGGGGATTGCAATCAATGTCACAAAATAAAATGTGTGTGAATTGTTGAATGGTAAACCAGTTTGCTCTGTAAACTTTCATCTAAATCACAATTAAATGTTAAAAATAAATAAAAATAAAATTATATGTGCAATATATTTGCCACCAGGTAAAAATGCATAAACTCTTAGGAAGTACTAAATGGCAATGACAGTTGTCTTTATCACATGGAATTACATTTCTCCCTTTTAAAAAACATTTTTTCCATACTTAAATTTTCTGCAACAAAGCACGTTTTTTTCTCTTATCAGATAAAAACCAAAAAGGAACTTGGTGTGATGTTTGGTTTTTGTAATGCTTAAGTATTTTCAAAAATGTGTTTGATTTATTTTATACATGGAGGATAACACATCTATTCAGGTACTTGCTGATGCAGTATTCTAGACATTAACATGTTCATTTGTTGTTCAACAGGATGCACCTTTTATATCATCTGGGCCACTCTCTACCGATGTGCCTTGGATATAATGATCTGGAATTCTGTGTTCTTGGGTGTCAACATTTTGCATCTTTCATATCTTTTGTACAAGAAAAGACCGGTAATTGCTAAAAATTAATAAGCTAAAAATATTGTAAAAGTATCTTGCTTAAACTTGAGAATAAACACCTAACATTTTAGTCCCTTTATTATAATTTATCTCAACATTAGACTTTCTGTTTATATGTACCTGAAAGCGGGACATTTGAATACCATGAAAATTATTCTACAAGCATGTTTTTTATTTTTGTTTTTAATCGTTAGAACAATTTAGACGTGAGAGAACATGAACAGTAGCTTCTCTTTTTAGTCATATAATGTGATTTATTTGTTTATTGATATTTAAATGTCACTTGAGAATATCTTTGTCTAGCTATAAAATTAATTACTAAAAGGCAACTTCCATAAGCATACTAATAATTTTCTTGCTGTCTTCTGATGTAATGACTATATATTTTTTTTATGCTCAACATCTTCATTTAAGGAAATCGTCATTTTTAGTGGATTGTTACAAAAACAACATTTAGCTTGTTCTTTTCAACTCTGATTTAGTTTGTTGTGTTTCTTAGATGATACAAGGAAAAAAAAAAAGATGTAAATAGAGTCAGACAATAGCAGGGCTTCTAGCAGTCATTCCATGCAAGTTTATCTACTGTGCTAAGTACAAACATTCAGTAAAGTAAATTATATGCTTGCCCTAGTCTTGTATTCAAGACCATACCTATTAGAAACAAGACACCTCACAGGGAATTATAATATTCATGATTTAGATGATATTTGCAATGGGCATTCCACTAGGTTGTAACTTCCTCAAACATAGTAACCATGTCTGTTTTGCTTGCTAGTCAGTTTTCCTTAACTTATGCTGTGTAATAAACAAGTTGAAAATAGTGACTCAGAATAGCAACAGTTTTTTTTCTCACCTTACATGTCAACTCTGGCAGCTGTATGTCAGCTGTGTTTTTGTTCTACCTGTCTTTTCATTTCAAGGTCTATGCCGAATAGCAGGTTCTGTTTTGGACTTGCATCGTGTTCACGGCAGAGAGAAAAATACAAGAGAACAAAGAGAAACATCCAGGGCTTCTTAAAATTTTCCTTAAAAGTGGCATGTATCACCTCTCACAATTCACTGGCCGAAGAAAGTTGCATAGTTTCCTAGATCTGCTATAACAAAGTATGCTTGAAACAACAGAGATTTATCCTTTCACAGTTCTAGAAGCCAGAAGTCCGAAATCAAGGTGTTGGCAGTGCCACTTTCCCTCCAAAGGCTCTAGGGGAGAACCCTTCCTTTCCTGTTCCAGCTTTTAGTGGCTCCAGATGTTCTTTGGCTTATGGCAGCAGAACTACCATCTGTGCCTCCCTTCATATGACCTTCCTTATGTCTCTCTGTGTCGCTCATCTATTTCCTTTCTCTTATAAGGCCACCAGTGCTGGGAGTTAGGTGTCCTTATGAGGGCTACTATTCAATCCACTACAGGACTTGACATAGCCAAAACAGACAATGGGGAGGAGGAATGAAGGGATGTGTAATCCTCTTACATGGGATAGAGGCAACAAATAACTGGGAAAATAGTATGGTCTATCATCCTAATGGATCCCTCTTCCTATCAACCATAAGGGGCACATCAAAAAACAAAACAAAACAAAAAAAAAACACTCACTGCCATGAAGTCGGATCCAACTTATAGTGACCCTTCCTTGGGTTTCTGAGGCGGTATCACTACAGAAGTAGATTGCCCGATCTTCCTTCCAAGGAGTGGCTGGTGAGTTTGAACTGCTAGCTTTCTGGTTAGCAGTCACATGCCTTAGGCACTACGCCACCAGCGCTCCCAACTGGCTCATCCAAAACCAAACCAAACTCACTGCCATCAAGTTGGATCTGACTCGTAGTGACCCTTCCTTGGTTTCCAAGGGGATACTACTACAGAAGTAGATTGCCACATCTTCTTTCCCAGGAGTGGCTGGTGGGTTTGAACCGCCAGCCTTCTGGTTAGCAGTCAACTGCCTTAGGCACTATACTGTACATAGTAGATGTTTAATAAAGGATTTGATAAGTGGAAGCTTTCCAAGAGGAGAAGAAGAACAAAAAGGACTCATGTAAGAACTGGGACTTGAGCTGAGATTTGCTGGATGACCAGATTATAAATACAAGTCAATTGATTGCTCAGTTCATGTGTTCATTACTGTGCCACACTGGCTCGTGTGCATGCTAGAAGAAAGGCTCATGTGTGAATAAATGACTTTAAAAGCTCATTATAGGAGCTCTTGAGTGGGATGGGTAGATGATAATAATGAGGATTACAGTCCTGACTTGCAGAACTTGCTGAAACCCCAAAACATAAGATTTAGATGTTGCTGATGTGATGGTAGTACCAAGTAGGTAAATCACTTAGTATCTGTGCTTTTATTTCTTTGTGGACTATAAACCTACTTTTAAAAAAAATGTAAACACTAGCTCTTCATTAAAATAGAGCAGCAGGACAAGAGCATTGCAAATGCGAGTGATGTCTGAGTAGCTCTCGTGATCTCGGTGTATGAGCTTCATAATGTGCCTGCTGTAGATTTCACTGGGACACATGACCCTTTGATCTGAACCCCAGAGTTCATTCACTGTCCAGTACAGTTTTCCATCCTCACAATTAGCATGACTAAGAGGGGGCCAATGAGGGAATGTAACCTAATGAGAGAATCTGACCAGAGGTGATTAAGCAACACTGCTTTTCTTTTCCTCCTGTAGCCAGACTTATTCACCAGTGGGTTCTTCAGTCTGCAGAGTGCATTACAGGTTTAGGATGGAAGTGCTCCACTGAAACTTTACATCTTTCTTTTTCCCTTCTCTTTGCTTGAGAATAAATAAATGAGAAGCAATTATTGCAGATACGAATATTTGTTTTCCTGTATTGGAGATACAATGATCAGTGTATTCTTGTTTTCATTAATTTCTTTCCACATTGATTTCTGTTTTGTCATCTTGCTATAATATTTAAAAGTTAATGTAATCTCTTTTCTTTTTTTATGTTGCATAATATCTTTTCTTGTGATATGAAAGGTTTTTAAACATGAAAACATTTTGTATTGTTTGTAGAGAGTGCTAAGATTGGGAAGGTGAATGCCAAGACAACATTTAAAACCTCAGCAGTTGCTTTATAGCCCATAGAAAGAGTGTGGTTAATAGTGCAAATCTTTTCCATATGCTCTTAGAGTTTAACTGCAAAAATGCCCTTTTAGAATCTAGAGTAGAAATGTGTATCACCACTTAATCTCTGTGAAAGATTCAGTGTACCTAATACAGAAAGGTGATAGTATGCATCAAAGTTTTGTTTATCCTTAAAGTTGTGTTGTGACTACAGAAGTCAGTGTTTTGGTACTGCATTAACACAGCATCTCTTCATTACTGTATTTCAGGTAAAGATCGAAAAGGAACTCAGTGGCATCTACCGGCGATTGTTTGAACCACTACGTGTGTCTCCAGATTTGTTCAGAAGATTAACTGGACAGTTTTGTATGATCCAAACATTGAAAAAGGGTCAGACTTACGCTATAGAGGACAAAACTTCTGTTGATGACCGCCTGAGTATTCTTCTGAAAGGAAAGTAAGTGTTCTGTGAAAATTGAAATTCCCAGTTTGCCTTTAATCTCATCATAGCCTTTGGGTAGGAATGAATGGGAGGGAATATTGCCAGCTAATGGAGGAGATGGTCATAGAGTTTGTTGTTGGTGAAATTTCATTTCACAACTACTTTTTGAAGTTATGCTATAGAGCAACATACTAGAGTTTACCGCTCTGAATCTTGTCGATATCAGGATTTTCAATTGTGAGTATTTTAACTTTGTTTTTTTTAACCTTTTCTTTTTCAAGTTAATGAGTCAAAATTAAAGAAGATTTAAAGTAGGCATTAAAATTGAATAAGCTTCTGAACATTATTTTGGTGGGGGTGGTGGCAGGAATATCAATTTTTTGGGGAGAACCTAAGTGTATGTCTGTGATTCTAGCATAATTATATATCCCACTGTTTTCTTTCTCAAAAGTATCCCAGTTTGAATAATAAATTGTATCATCATTCCTGTGTAATAGAAATGATAACCGTTGAGTCAAACAAGTTAGTTGGAAGGCATATGTCTGGTTCAATGGTGGATGCTGTCTCTTCTTTTATTTTCCTTTTTTTATATTATTTTTTAAAGAAATATGTATCCTTTGTAAAGTGCTTTTTAATTATGTCAGTCATCTTTGGGATCCTTAAAACTTTAATGTAAAATACAAACCACAAAGATGGAAGATTTTAAGGATTGTCATGTTATTTATGAAATGTTTTGCGTATATTATTAACATTCATTTCTGTTACCAGAATGAAGGTCTCCTATCGAGGACATTTTCTGCATAACATTTACCCCTGTGCCTTTATAGATTCTCCTGAATTTAGATCAACTCAGATGCACAAAGATGAAAAATTCCAGGTATGTTTTGGTATGATATTTAAGATTTAAATGAATTCATATCTTGTTCAAAATCTAGAGAATATTAATAAAAAGTAGCCATGAGTTATTGAAAAAGAACTTACTAAACTTACTAAATAGTATATCTTCTATTATCCCATTAAAAAAACTTAAAATAATGTCTATATGTGTATAAAAAAAGACTTAGAAAGATATATCCTAATTTGACCATAGTAGCTCTGGTAGCATAGTGCCTAAGGCATTTGACTGCTAATCAGAAGGCTGGCAGTTCAAACCCACCAGCCACTTCTCGGAAGGAAGATTGGGCAATCTACTTCCATAGTGATACTGCATCAGAAACCCAAGGAGGGGTTGCTATGAGTCAGGTTCGACTCTACGGCAGTGAATTTGGTTTGGTTTTAGTATTAATATTACCCACCACTTGTCTGTTAGTTTATTGTACTGTAGTTGGTGGCTTGCATGTTGTTATGAGGCTGGAAGCTATGCCACCGGTATTTCAGATACCAGCAGGGACAAGTTTCAGCATAGTTTGCAGACAGAGACAGACTGGGAAGAAGGACAGGGCCATCTATTTCTGAAAAAATTGGCCACTGAAAACCTTATGAATAGTAGTGAAACACTGTCTGATATATCACTGGAAAACTTTATGAATAGCCCTGAAACATTATCTGATATAGTTCCAGAAGATGAGCCCCTCTGAGTTGGAAGGCTCTCAAACTACAACTGGGGAAGACCTGCCTCCTCAAAGTAGAGTAAACATTAATGATCTGGGTGTAGTAAAGCTTTTGGGACCTTCATTTGCTGATGGGGCATGACTCAAAATGGGAAGAAACAGCTGCAAACATCCATTAATAATCAGAACTTGGAATTAGAAAATGTGAATCTAGGAAAATTAGAAGTTATCAAAAATGAAATGGAATACATAAAGATCAATATCCTAGGCATTAGTGAGCTGAAATGGACAGATATTGGCCATTTTGAATCAGACAGTTATATATGGTCTACTAAGCTGGGAATAGCAAATTGAAGAGGGATGGCATGGCATTCATCATCACAAATGTTTCAAGATTTGTCTTGAAGTACAGTCCTGTCCCTGATGGGATAATATCTATATGCCTACAAGGAAGATCAGTTAGTATGACTATTATTCAAATATATGCACCAACCACTAAAACCAAAGATGAGGAAATTGAAGATTTTTACCAACTTCTGCAGTCTGAAATTGACCAAACATGCAATCAAGATGTATTGATTATTGTGGGTGATTAGAACATGAAAGTCAGCAACAAAGAATCATCGGTAGCTGGAAAATAATAGCCTTGGTGGTAGAAATGGTGCTGGAGATTGCATGATAGAATTTTGCAAGACCAATAATTTATTTATTGCCAATATCTTTTTTTAATAATATAAAGGGCAGCTATACACCTGGACCTTGCCAGGTGGAGTACACAGAAATCAGATCAACTACATCTGTATCTGTGGAAAGAGGTGATGGAGAAGCTCAGTATCTTCAGTCAAAACAAAGCCAGAAGATGATTGTGGAACAGATCATCAATTGCTCATGTGAAAGTTCAGATTGAAGCTGAAGTAAATTAAAATTAAAATAAGTCTATGAGAGCCAACATATGACATTGATTATATCCCACCTGAATTTAGAGACCATCTGAAGAATAGATTTGACACATTGAACACCAATGACCAAAAAAACCTGCCGAGTTGTGGGATGACATCAAGAACATCATACATGAAGAAAGCAAATGGTTATTAAAAAAACAGGAAAGGAAGAAAAGAACAAAATGGATGACAGAAGACTCTGAAATTTGCTCTTGAACAGAGAGTAGCTAAAGCAAATGGAAGAAATGACAAGATAAAAGAATTGAACAGAACATTTCAAAGGGCAGTTTAAGAAGACAAAGTAAAGTATTATAATGAAATGTGCAAAGACCTGGAGTTAGAAAACCAAAAGGGAAAAACATGCTTGGCATTTCTCAAGCTGAAAGAACTGAGAAAAAATTCAAGCTTTGAGTTGCAATATTGAAGGATTCTATGGGCAAAATATTGAATGATGCAGGAAGCATTAAAAGAAGATGGAAGGAATACACAGAGTCACTGTACTCAAAATAATTGGTCGATGTTCACCTATATCAGGAAGTAGCATATGATCAAGGACCAGTGGTATTACAGGAAGAAGTCCAAACTGCACTGAAGGAATTGGGAAAAAAAAAAAAAAAAAAGGCTCAAGGAATTGACAGAATACCCACTGAGATGTTTCAGCAAACGAATGCAGTGCTGGAGGTGCTTACTCGTTTACAACAAGAAATTTGGAAGACAGCTGATTGGAAGAGATTGATATGTGTGCCTGTTCCAAAGAAAGATGATCTAACAGAATGTAGAAATTATTGTACAATATCATTAATATCACACACAAGTAAAATTTTCTGAAGATAATTCAAAATCGGTTGCAGCAGTACATTGACAGAGATCATCTAGAAATTCAGCCTAGATTCAGAAGAGGATGTGGAATGAGGGATATCATTACTAATGTCAGATGGATTTTGGCTGAAAGCAAAGAATATCAGAATGATGTTCATCTGTGTTTTATTGACTATGCAAAGATATTCGACTATGAGGGTCATAACAAATTATGATTAACATTGCAAAGAATGGGAATTCCAGAACACTTAATTGTGCTCATGAAGAACCTGTACATAGACTAAGAGGCACTGTTCACACAGAACAAAGGGAAACTGAATGGTTTAAAATCAGTAAAGTTGTGTGTCAGGGTTGTATCCTTTCACCATATTTATTCAATCTGTATGCTGAACAAATAATCTGAGAAGCTGAAGTCTATGAAGAAGAACACAACATCAGGAGTGGAAGAATACTCATTAACAACCTGAAATATGCCGATAACACAACCTTGCTTGTGGAGAGTAAAGATGACTTGAAGCACTTACTGATGAAGATCAGACCTTACAGACTTCAGTATGGATTACACCTCAACATTAAAAAAAAAAAAAAAAATCCTCACAACTGGACTAATAAGCAACATTACAATAAATGGAGAAAAGATTGAAGGTGTCAATGATTTCATTTTACTTGGATCCACAATCAACACTCGTGGAAACAGCAGTCAAGAAATCAGATGCTGTATTGCTTTGGGCAAATCTACTGCAAAGATGTCACTTTAAAGACTAAGTAAGATATACCTAACCCAATCCATGGTATTTTTAGTTGCCTCATATGAATGTGAGGGAGTTCTGGTAGCATAGTGGCTAAAGCACTTGACTGCTAACCAGAAGGCTGGTGGTTCAAACCCACCAGCCATTCCTCGGAAGGAAGGTTGGGCAATCCTACTTCCGTAGTGATACTACCTTGGAAACCCAAGGAAGGGTCGCTATGAGTCATGAGTCGGGGCCGACTCAACGGCATATAACAACAACAACAACAACATATGAATGTGAAAGCTAGGCAATGAGTAAGTAAAACTGAAGAAGAATTGATGCCTTGGAATTGTGGTGTTGGTAAATAATACTGAAAATACCACGAACAAAGAACAAAGAGATCTGTCCTGGAAGAAGTGCAGGTGGAATGCTCCTTAGAAGCGAGAGTGGCCTGACTTTATCTCACTTACTTTGGTCATGTTGTCAGAAGGGACTGTTCCCTGGAGAAGAGTATCATGCTTAGTAAAGTAGAGGGTCAGAGAAAAAGGAGATACCTTCAACAAGATAGATTGGCACAGTGGCTGTACCAATGAGTTGAAGTATAGAAAGGATTGTGAGGCTGGTGGAGAGCTGGGCAGTATTTTGTTCTGTTGTACACAGAGTCGCTATGAGTTGGAGCCAATTCAACAGCACCTAACAACAACACAACATTAACACTGTAATTTCTAGGTTGTAAATTTGATTGCTTTTTAATTTCTTGCTTTTTTGCTTATTTGAATTTTTCTAAATTTCCCATTAAAAAAACAGTACTTTTTTGATTAGTAAAAGGGACTATATCAGTTATAAGTAATCAGTGTTCGTAAGACACTAACATTGAGTACTTTCATTGAGTGAAACCAGGAAACTGGCTTTGCCCTAGGAAAATTATTTTGTTAATCTTTATTTAAAAAGCTAATCCTTTTACTCTTTTATATTTAATGGATATTTTTGTGGGCAAAAAATGGAGTTTGACCGTGAAATACTCAGCATGCTCTTTATGTATCTTAGAATAAAATTGCTCCATTACTTGGCACTTTGTTCCAGTTCTTTCCCTAAGGGCTTAGCCCTCCTACTTTACTCCATTATTGGTAAGAAAGTGGCCAAGAATATGGGTGAGTTTCTTTCAGGCTCACACTCTGGATAAACAGCAGTAAGGACATATCCTGAGCAAGGGTTGCTTATGAGCAAGGGAATAAATCTAGTTAGGTAGGAAATGGAATGGAAGGGGTTATTACCCCTGGAGAGAGGAAAAGGCCAGTATTTCTTCTTGGCAAATTCTTATTTTAGAGCCATTTTTGGGATGCCAAAAAAGTGGAGATAAAAGGGAAAATTCACAGAAATACAGTTTAGTTTACTTCATTTATAATGGTTTCAGCCTGCCTGAGTAATGTGTGAGTAACTGCACCACTTGTTAAAGTTTCATCCCATAGAAATGCACTGACTGGCACAGTGCTGTTCCCAAGCTGAGTAGGCTTACGATACAGAAATGGAAAGCTCTCTCCTCTAATTTGCTTTCTCACTTTGTGTATTATGGGTTCAGCTGTGCCCTGAGGTTTATGCTCTTACTATATCTTCAGTCACTACCATCTACAAACTGGTACAGGGCCACTTCTTTTCTCTCACCTTCTTTCCTCTGACCTCCCCACGATTTCTTTCTCCAAAGCCAACATTTATCTATTGTATCCATTTCTCTTGTGTACAGTAGCAGGTGATTTTATAGACCTCCAGTCTCACATAATCCTGAAGAGACTGAGATTGGGGAGGAAGTGGGAACTAAATCTCCTTTGTTTCCAGAAGTAAGTGGTCCCTGAGGGATCATAAATACTAGCACACACTATATTTTCTACTGGATTCAATTTATATTTTCACAGTTACATTAACAAAAAAAGGAATTCCTGCCACTAGCTTCAGTTATTTTTCCTTGGGCACTAGGGATTGAGATTTGGTAGTTAAGAAGGGTCCTGATAAGTGCAGCAAAGATTGCAAACACATGAAAAATCAAGATTCATAACTGAGTGAATGACATTTATTCAGCCTTCCCAGAGACCAGTCAGCTTTTCTCTGAATAAAGTCTGGGGTGGCATTTCCTGATTGGTCGATGGTTAAAAATGACTCTCTTGATGTCAAATCTGCATCCTGTACAATTGGAACAAACGCCATCAAAGTAAACCCTGGGGAGAGACTGTGTCTTGATTGTTTATAAAATGTTCCTCTTGGCAAATGCTTAAGAGTAAAAATAGTAGTTGCACATCTGTGTAGGAGTATATTGCAAGTTCCTAAATGAAAAATGTTACATGCTCCCAGGTTCTACTTAACCTGTGCCTTAAGAGAAGATATCTGAAGTCCTCAATGGTTGCTCTTCTCCACCCATGTACTTTCTACCTACTAATCTCATTTTTCTCCAACTTGAACAGTTTATACGTGTTCTGACAAGGAGCTACTTCCTTTGAATTGTTATGTCTTTATCTTCATTCTTTGGTAAGAATGCTAATGAATTATCCAATAGGGTGATAAAGGGGAAAGAAAAGGCAGTCTGACTCAATGACTGTGTCTTGAGATTACACAGTGATCGTGGTTCAGGTAAATGTTTAGTAATTATAGTGATAGAAGGCATAGAGAAAAACAGCTGATAAAAAGGATTCTGAAGTAAGTTTTCATTCTCCACTAAGTGTTTACAAGTCCTTTTGGTGTATGTAAGGAGCTCTGGCGGCATAGTGATTAAAACATTTGTCTGTTAACCAAAAGGTCAGCGGTTCAAACCACCAGCCACTCCATGGAAGAAAGATGAGCCAGTCTGCTTCCATAAAGATTTACAGCCTCAGAAACCCTATGGGGCAGTTCGACTTTGTTCTGTAGGGTTGCTATGAGTTGGAATCACTTATCAACTATCTCATTATTCAACATTTTACATTTACAATAGTGAAAAATCTACTATCTGACTTTGTTGCCCATTAACAGTGTACATCTGGCAGTAGAGAACACTGAAGTGTGAGGCAAGAGTAATACTGCCTGTGATGGTTAAGAGTATGTGTCAACTTGGTGTGGCCATGATTCTTAGTGGTATGGCAGTTATGCAGTGATATAATTTGGTAGTGTGTAATGATGTAGTCACCTTCCACTTTGTGATCTGATGTGGTCATCCTCCATTTTCACATAACAACTATTTTGCATAATGACCTGAAATTGCTAAGCATATATAGTGTCATATTAAAAGTACCATTACCTCAGTAAAAACTTGAGGTAGTTAAAATGGTTGAGAAGTTAAATGCCTTATACCCAAGTGCAATTTCTTTTTCTTTTTCTAGATGGTTTCTAACTCCTTTTAAAACTCTGTCCCCACTGTACATGAATTATACTTTCCAAAGTCATAGAGGACATCTTTGCAACATTAAAGGACCTCGATTTTCCTAACTCCCTCATCAGTGCTTAGATGCATGGCTGGGCTCCTCTGAGGGTCCAGTGTTCACCTTGCTCTGATTAGTCCTGTAGAATATTATATTCAGTTGCCATGAGTTTACTTGCCTGTCTTCTACTGTTGCTAGGCATTTCTTAGGGCTGGCTTGACCTTATATTTATTTCCCTATAAATCTTTCCAATTTTTGTCATATTTCCTTATTTATTATCAACTTCCTCCACTAGAATGTAAGCTTCCTGCCTTTGTGTTCAGGGGTTCTCTGTTTAGGGGCTCTCAGTGGACTGTGCAGCCAACCTTGGGGTCTCTTGACAAAATTCTTTTTTATATGTTTGTCTTGATGAGTATAGCACATCTGGATACAGGTTGGCTTGGTGGAACAGTATTTTTGAGACAGAAGTCAGAAGCGTTCATTCTTCCACTGATTAGCATGTTTTTGTGAGATTTTTTATACCTTTCATTTGCTGTCCGAAAAAATGTAGAACAATAATACCTGTCTTAGCTTCAAGGCAGTTTTGAGGATCCACTTATAAAATAGATTAAAAAAAAAAAACCTTCAGTGTTTAAAAGTACATTACATATATAAGATGAGCGGCATTATGTCTGAATGTCTGTCACCCCAATCATTCTTTACTGCTACCTCCCTTGTTCTGTATTTATCAAAAGACTTATCACAACCAAGGATGATCATGTTTCTTTTTTCTCTTATCAGCTTCCTCCACTAGTTCCATACACACTTCACGGGACGTGGACCTTGTCCTTTTTGTTCACCAATGTAGTTTTAGCATGTTAAACAATGTCTGGCATAAAATATGTGCCTAAACTTAAAAAAAAAAAAAAAAACTCACTGCTGTCGAGTCAAATCTGATTCATAGTGACCCTTCCTTCGGTTTCCAAGGTGGTATCTCTATGGAAGTAGATTGCCCAGTCTTCCTTTTAGGAGTGGCTGGTATGTTTGAACCACCAGCTTCTGATTAGCAGTCAGATGCCGTAGGCACTACGCCACCAGAGCTCCTATGTGCCTAATAATGTATATTTCAAGAATGAATGACATGTAGTGTTTTATGGAGTGCTTGAGTGGTGTAAATGGTTAGCGCACTTGGCTGCTAACCAAGAGGGTAGAGGTTTGAGTTTACCTAGAAGTGCTTCAGAAGAAAGACCTGAAAATCTATTCTGAAAAATCAGTCATTGAAAACCCTATGGAGCACAATTCTACTCTTACACACATGGGGTCTCCACCGTCAGAATCAGTATGACAGCAACTTGGGGTAGTGTGAGTTTTCAGAGTTAGCTAGCCAGAAGGTTTTTCACCTACGGCTTGCCTCGGGAATCTTACCTCAGTTTGTTGCTTAAAGCTGTATTCACAAACCTTTACAGTAGTCATCAGGTATAAAGAAATATCTAGCTGTGTATCATACCTCCAGCTGAAGCATCAACATAGCACACTCTACAGCAGCAGCGGCAGCATTTACAGTGCATCCTTCCATTACAGGACCTCACCAAATGAGGCAACAGAACTCTGAGACTGGTTATTACTTGGTCTATGGATTGCTTGTTTTTAAACATAATTTTATATGTAGTTGTAGAAGCTTGTGTTTATTTTCCTAATTTTAATTTAATTAATTTGACAAATAATTGCTATGATAATATCCACTAAAGTTTTCTACTCTTCTCTTCCCTAAAATTACTATAGTCATAATAAACACAAATACATAGATAAAATTTTCTCTTTGCATGTTTATTTCTTTGGCAGGTCACCATTACTGCCGATGATAACTGCAGGTTTTTATGCTGGTCGAGAGAAAGATTAACTTACTTTCTGGAATCAGAACCTTTCCTATATGAAATATTTAGATATCTTATAGGAAAAGACATTACAAACAAGCTCTACTCATTGAATGATCCTACATTAAATGATAAAGTAAGTGTTTTTCTGAGTTTGTTTTGTTAAATAAATATGTATAGTGAAGTATGCCTCATTTTATGCAATGCTTATTTTCCTGAATCTTCATCAGTCAGTTATATTTTAAGTGTAGTAGGGTGCTTGTAATTTAGAAATCCTTCAGGAAATCACTTCTGGAAAGTAAATAAGTATTTTGTAATTATTACATTTGTCATTACTTAGTAAGGAGTCTGTAAATGTTGGGATCTCCATTTGTGGTCAGGATGTGCTGTCCTCTTCACGAAGAATCTCTTAAGCAATCTAATAGAGCTGGTAAGTGGGTGGGAAGAGGTGGGGGGGGGGTGCTGTCAGGGAAGACAGGGCAGTCGGGAGATTGCAGACAGAGAAACTCTGAGCAACTCCAGTGAGCAGGAAGTTGAAATTTTCACCCTGAAGCCTTCCAGTCTTACACATCTTCCAGATAAAGCCTATCCCAGGAAGCCCATAGGTGACCCACGAGGTGTGGAGTGGAAGACTGCGGCTATTCACCTAGAGATTTGAGAGCTGTGTAGGTTTTGGAAATTTTACAGTTTGATCTTAATTTCTCTACATTTGCTTAGAAAGAAACTAAAATGATTACAGAAGATAAGTTGCAAAACATTGTTCCTGTGATAAGTACTCTTTGCTTATTACGGATCTCTAGGAACAATGAGTGCCCTCTTAAAGTCATTTTGCGTAGGTTTCTCAAATTAAGTTGGTGCTTATTCTTTTTCAGAATAATAAAGAGACTATAAATTTACTTATTATAAATCAATATTGATTTCCTATAATACAGTTAATGTAATAGCTAATAATAAAAAAAAAAAGTAGTATTTATTGAAAACTTACTCTGTAACAGGTAGTCTTTTATATGAGCCAACTTATTTGAAGGAACAGTAAATACTGCTTAATACGTGATTTATGTACCATGAGGCTCAGACACCTTAACACTTAACATGTTGCTTCCTAGAAGACCAAGCTGAGCCTTTGCACGCAGATCTCCATGCTGGAGATGAGGAACAGCATAGCCAGTTCCAGTGACAGTGATGATGGTTTACACCAGTTTCTGCGAGGGTCCTCCAGTGTCTCCTCTCTTCGTAAGTTATCCAAGAACCGATCGTGCTTGCTGCAGGGTTCTGATAATAGACAATTAATAATAGACAAATTAGAACTTTTATCAGAAAAATAACTTTGCAGGTAACTAACTGGCAACCTAAAGTTAAATTTTGTCTAGATTTTCTTTTTTCATATTGCACATCAGTTTAAATCCAATTCTAGAGCTCTTATTTCTGTTATAGAAACTGTTCACTTACTTTGCCATTGGCTTTACTTAAATACTTTTCACTGGAATAGTGTAAAAGAGCTCACATGGTTTGGTAGGTATTTGGCTTAGTTGTTTTTTGTGATTTTTATTAGTGTGAAAACCTAGACCCAGCAAGCAATATGTTAAATATGACAGGGAAACAGGTGATGGGTGCTTTACAGCTGAATGGTTGTCCAACAGTGTGAGCACCAAGATGATGCAGAAATGGAATGTTTCTGGAGATGATGGACGCTACACAACATTCCTGTGACTTACCTCATTCACATACTCACCAAGATGCAAGTTTTCCGAGGAAAACTCTTCTATAGTTGAGATTGTTGAAAAACATTTTCAGTAACACTGACAACAGAGATGTTTACTTACTTAGAATTACTAAGTAAGATGAGAGAAGTGAATTATTTTAAGAATTATTCTAAGAATGATGCTGTAAGAACTTTGAACAAACTTTTGTGAAATAACACAAAGGCAGACAAGTTCTTGTACTGTTTATTTTAAGAACTTTTTAGATTCCCAATTGTATATTAAACTATGGTAACTTTAAAAAATACATAAACACATTCAACAATCCTAGATGTTTATGTAGCTGATCTGGTTTCTTTTGGAAACTTTGCATAAAATGGATTGAGGATTTTCTTGGATTTCATAGTCAAGAGAGACTGGAATTTACAAGATCTCATTATTGCAGTAACTTTTCAAAGAGAAGTCTAGGGGGAAACAAAATGTGTATGAGCTGTTGAGTGTAAAATGAAACTGCTTTGTAAATTTACACCGAAATCACAATAAAAAGGAAAAACAGAGAAGTCTAGACAAAAGAGTGTGTTGTAGATCTAAAGCAGGTGCCTTAGGAACAGCACAAATGAGATATTAGAAAAGTCGATTCTGACTCATAGTGACCCCTCCTTGGGTTTCCGAGGTGGTATCACTATGGAAGTAGATTGCCCAACCTTCCTTCTGAGGAATGGCTGGTGGGTTTGAACCGCCAGCCTTCTGGTTAGCAGTCAAATGCCTTAGGCACTACGCCACCAGAGCTCCCAAATCAATCACAGAAGGACAAATATTGTATTAGTCCATTATTGTAAAATGTCAAGGAAAGGTTTATATATGGAAGGAAATTTTCTTTGTTGGTTACCAGGGGTGGGAAGGGAGGGGAGGGAACACTGTTACATAGATAGAGATAAGAACAGATTTGGGTGAAGGGAAGTGACAGAAGCCTGCAGCTCAGCCCATCTCCCTCTTCGCTGCATCCCCTTTTATTCAACAGCCACCAGTGCCATCCTCCATGCAGCCCCTGGCTAGCAGGACCAATTTTTAGGTTAATTCTTGGCAATATCCAAACTGTCCGTGCCATCAGGATCGCTGACAGACCGCAGCTCCGTATGTTTCCTTTTACAGTGTTTTCATGCAGGTTCTTCTACTAGTTGGAATTTAGTCCACTTCTGTCTCCTTTCTTTCAAGGCTCAGGGCCCCAGGGTTATCTTCTGTATCTGTGTTAATTGGTTCCTATTTTCTTTGTTGAAGAGGGTCTGTCTGCCTATTCTGCCATCTTTCTGGAACTCCTCCTGACCCCTTCTATCTTGAGATGAGTCCAAACAGCCACTTCCTGTTGGAACATTGAAACTTAAGTTTTGTAAAGAAGCATGTTGCCCTTGCGTACAAAGTTGTATTTTTTCTTCTCAGCTCCCCCTTGCCTGCTTGTTCATTGCTATACCTAAAATACGTTCAACCTGCTTGGGTTGTTTATTTAATTTTTTAGTTTCAGGTTTCTTATGGAAAATCTTACTAATTTATACAAATATATATAGCTACATATGTTTGCATATTTGTGTGTGTGTATGTGTGAATCATACAAGTCCACATCCATCCCTTGACCAGTTCTCATTCTTAATTTCCTGTCCCTACTCCTAGTTAAATGAAAGAAGTTAGTACTTGAGCACAGCACTAATAATAACTTGTTGTTGTTGTTTTTGTTATGTGGAGTCAGACCTGACTCATAGCGACCCCTCTTTGGGTTTCCGAGGCAGTATCACTACGGAAGTAGATTGCCCCATCTTCCTTCCGAGGAGTGGCTGGTGGGTTTGAACTGCCAGCCTTCTGGTTAGCAGTCAAGGGCCTTAGGCACTACACTACCTGAGCTACGAATTATTTAATTCATTTGAGCACATAATTGATTAAAAACTGGTTCATTCTTGTCTCTCTTACTTAGGTTTTAGCTCAAATTACTGCAGGCTGTTTTTGTTTTTCTGTTTGCAGAAATGCCATCAACCTTCCCATATTATAAATATTTTTCCTTGGAAAGCAAAGAATATAAGACCAATCCCTCAGAACCGTTAGAGTGAGATAACAAAATGTATTACATTGTGAACATGTAGTAGGTTCTAAGTAAGTGTTAGATCCCTGAGATAAGTGAGGGAAACTCTTGGTCATTCAGGCTTCCGATGTGCAAATAGGGGCATCAGTGGTCACCTGCTCCCACCAATAATACCAGCTTCATTAATGTTAGCAGGGAGAAGGGAACAAACATTTATTGGCAATAACATCTGTTGTTTTTTAGGCACTCTGATTACCTCATCCCATTTAATCTTTACTGTAATCCTTAATGGAGATGTATATTAGGCAGCTTTTCTAGATAATATAGCACTAACAGGCCCCCAAACCTCAGAAGTTATAACAAAGAGGGAGTCACTAGGTGGTAGAAATAGTCAGCACCCTTGGCTGCTAACCAGAAGAAAGGACTGGTGACATACTTCCAAAACATCAGCCACTGAAGGCCCTTTAGAGCCCAGTTCTCCTGTGACATGTGAGATTGCTGAGTGGGGTGATCTACTTCAGTAGTGATACCACCTCAGAAACCCAAGGAGGGATCGCTATGAGTCAGATCCGACTCGACAGCAGTGAGTTTGGTTTTGGTTTTGGTTATACTGTAAAAGAGAGGCTTCTTTCTCTCTCATCCGTAAGTTGGGTGCTGCCCTATACCACATCCTCTCCAGCATCTGCCATCTGAATCATTGCCATCCTTGTGGCAGAAAGACAGCGTGACACCATCACTGGCTTTTAAAGATTCCACTGAGGAGTGGTACGTGCCACTTCCACTCACTTTCCCTGGGCCAAAATGTCGCTTGGCCAGGCTTGACATCAGCAGGGTGAATCTATTAATCTTCCTGCAAGGGCTGCCACAGGAAGGAGAAGCAATAACACAGTCCACCCCAGTGGATATTATTTCCATTTTACAGATGGGAACATTGAGAATATGAGATGATTATTGTTCCAGTTTCACAGAGGGTGGTGCTGGCATACACACCTAGGTATCCTGTCTTGTTTCAAAGCCCCTGCTTTTCCACCATATTGGCTCTGTGGTTTAAACAGAAAAGAAAAGAATGCAAATAGTATTTGGCTCCAGACCAAAACCAAACTCACTGCCATTGAGTCGATTCTGACTCATAATGACCCCCACTGCATTTCCAAGGTTGTAAATCTGTACAGAAGCAAACTGCCCCATCTTTCTTCCATGGAGCTGCTGGTAGTTTGGAACCACCAAACTTTTGGCTGGCAGACAAATGCCTTAACCACTACACCACTAGAGCTCCTTAGTATTTGACTAGTATTTTATAAAGGAGCTATGGTGGTGTAGTGGTTAAAGTGGTGGGTTCAAACCCACCAGCTACTCCATGTAGGAAAGATGGGGCAGTCTGCTTCCATAAAGATTACAGCCTTGGAAACCCTATGGGACAGGTTCTACTCTGACCTAAAAGGTCACTGTGAGTTGGAATTGACTAGATAGCAATGGATTTCCCACCAAAAAACCAAACTCACTGCTATTGAGTCGATTCTGAGTCATAGGGGACCCTCATTAGGTTTCCAAGGCTGTAAATCTTTATGGAAGTAGATTGCCTTATCTTCCTCTTGCATAGCAGTTGGTGGGTTTGAACCACCAACCTTCTGGTTAGTAGCCAAATGCCTTACCCACTATACCACCAGAGCCCCTTGGCAATGGGTTTGTTGTTGTTGTTGTTGTTATGTGCCGTCAAGTTGGCCCCGACTCATAGCGACCCCTCCTTGGGTTTCTGAGGCAGTATCACTACGGAAGTAGATTGTCCGACCTTCCTTCTGAGGAGTGGCTGGTGGGTTTGAACCGCCAGCCTTCTGGTTAGCAGTCAAGTGCCTTAGGCACTGTGCTACCAGAGCTCCTGGCAATGGGATTAGCGCTTTATAATTAACAAGTCATTTTCACGTACGTTCCTACATTTGAATCTGACAATCCTGAAAGGTAGGCACAGCAGCTGTTATCCTTTGCAGATGAGTCAACTTACACTTAGGGAGAAATCAGTGACTAGCCCAATGACACTTTGTTCCACTTCAGCCTGTTTCCTTGAAGAAACCTGCCATCACCTGATTACTTCATTATGGCCAAACAGTGCTGCAAATAGGTTTTCAAAGATCAGTTAATGTAATCCATTTAAGTGGAAAAAAAATTTGCCTTACTCTTTGTGCTGAGATTCTATGTAACCCAAACCCACTGCCATCAAGTCAATTCCAACTCTTAGCAATCCCATAAAATGAAGTTGGACTACCCCATAAAGTTTCCAAGACTGTAAATCTCTATAGATGCAGACTGCCTCATCTTTCTCCCACTGAGCAGCTGGTGGGTTTGAACTGCCATCCTACTGACTTGCAGCTGAATGCTTTAACCACTGTGCCACTAGAGCTTTGGGATTCTGTATAGGAACATGTAAAATTATCCAGTGATACTCTCCAAAGTCCATTAGCTTTCACTTT